TCCTCCTCCTCCTCCTCCTCCTCCTCCTCCTCCTCCTCCTCCTCCTCTTCTTCTTCTTCCTCCTCCTCCTCCTCCTCCTCTTCTTCTTCTTCCTCCTCTTCCTCTTCCTCCATCGCCTATTCCCACTCCTCATATTCCTCCTCTTCTTATTCTTCTTCCTCCTCTTCTTATTCTTCTTCCTCCTCCTCCTTGTCGCCATCCTCCTACTCCTCCTACTCCTCCTCCTCCTCCTCCTCCTCCTCCTCTTCTACTTCTTTCTCCTCCTCGTCATGTGTAGCAGCGGACCCTCCGTTAACCCCCACCTGAACAAGGGCTAAGCTATGTAGAAATTTATGATTGGACATAAAAATTGCACATCCATTCCTTACACTAGACCAACTTCAGTTATGTTTGTCAGAATTGTTCTCCATCTGAGCTGATGTTCATCTTCCCTTCTTTGGCTCATACCATGCAGAGCACTGCGCGCACATGGCCTCGAGGCAACTTTATCTGCTGAGGATGAAAAGGAGACAGAAGGTATACTTTCTCAGGTGAGACATTTGGTCTTCTTCTAATAATCTGGTGGATTCCGGCCCATAATGTGCAGATTTTTGTCTCTAGACTCTCGTAAAACAAAACAAAACAAAAAAAAAGGTGTAAAAGAACTGCAGCCCCAAGGCCTCGTATTCAAAAGAGAGGGGGGGGGAGGGGGCCGTAAAGCAAAAGGACAAAAAAACGAGAGGATGGAAGTGCTTGCACTGCAGTGTGGTTCACTCTCAACTTTAGTACAATGCTGGATGCTGGAGTGGGGCAGCACAGACGCTGTGCTCTTGCAAGGGAAAACTAGGCTTCCCATAGTACCTTCACCTGCATAGGAATTTACATGCATGTCTGTTTGTGTGTTTGTGTGTGTGTGTGCGCTGTGTGCGTTGTCGTGTTCGCATGACTGTGCCAGGCTGTTTGGTCAACTTTCACCAACTTATCGGTCAGGAGGTTGAACCTGTCGCTTGCCTAGCATGCATTTGACTGATGGATAACGACTCACCTCGTCACACAGAGTTATCAATGCCCTATAGAGAAAGAAAAGTGGTCGGCTTCACTCACGCCAACCCTGCAATCGTAGCAGACTGTTGGTCCAAACCCGTGAGAAGAATGGCAGTAAGTCTTGAACCACAAGTACACGGCCTCAGCCTTGCAGTCCGAAACTTGTCGCCACAAGAAAACGAGGCCGAAACGTCAAACACTGGGCCCGCCGTTGATAAATTCGATCGGCGGTGGCGTTTGGGTTTTGCGCCTCCACAATTTGAGGTGTCAGGCCCGCGGCCCAGGTGCCCATGTGCTGATGCTTTAAACCGCCAGTACATGGCCCCAGCCAAGTTGAGAATGTGATTGAGCCTCTCCTAAAATTTCAGAGGCCCGTGCACCGTCGATAAAATACATCGGCGGCAGGCAGCCTCCGAAAGGAGCCCACGGCCGATGGCTGGCATGTACTGGTCCTTTAAGAAACTAGTCTGTCATGTTCGCTTTAAATAAGTCCACTAGAAAAGCATGACTATGCCAGACCATTTAGTCTGACTTTCACCGACTCATCAGGAGGTTCAACCCCAACAGTCTATGAGCGTGTGTCTGATGTCATCCTTGCTGTACACAACCCCCAAAGAAAAGCATGATTGTGCCAGACCATTTCATCGGACTGTCACTGACTCCGTGCTTGTGTGTCGTCATGTTCGTTATACACAATTCCACAGAAAAAAAAAAAAACATGACTGTGCCGACTGTTTCATCGGACTTTTTCTCATGTGTCTGTGTGCATGTGTGTTGTAAACTGTCACCGTAACAACTTTCACTGGCTCGTGCGTGTGTGTTGTCATGTTCGCTATACACAATTCCACAGAAAAAAAAAACATGACTGTGCCGACTGTTTCAACGGACTTTTACTCATGTGTCTGTGTGCATGCGTGTTGTAAACTGTCACCACAACAACCCCTTTTCCACGCAGATGAGCAGATCCAAAATTGAAACAGCTTTACATCTATAAATCAACACGAAGCACACGCTATACAATAGTATTACCTCTGTATAGTCTGTGCTGTGTAGTGTTACCCAGATGAGCGTCTGCTGGATAAGGTCACCTGATAATAACATCAGGCCCACTAAACATCGACACACTGTCAGATTAAGGACATCAGGAGACCCTCGAACAACACCAGTAGTGCCACTTCTTGAAGCATCCTTTAAAAAAAAAAAAAAAAAGCACCCTGCGATGACACGCACAGTTGTGGTCTGATAACTGTGTTGTTTAAACATTTTTTTCAAAATGATTCAGTTGCCGTCTTGCCATCTTTTCTGCTCAAGATTTCTTAGTGTTTCTGGCTTGCACCCATAACAAACCCTTTTCCACCCGAATGAACAACCTGCAAGGAAAATGAGTGAGAGCGATACACAGAAAACCAAATTGCAACATTACATGGAAGACCAGATAGTCGTGTCCCAAGCACAAAGCAGGATGGACTTAGATACAAGCCAAATAAGAGCAATACAATGAACTCAAACAGCCTCTTCTCGCCACCATCAACACTGTATCCAATGCCACCCTTCTTGATTGGCGCTCAGCGCCCAGCCTACCACTACTTCAGAACCTATACTAGCCTACAACTAAGTGACGAAGCAACCAGGAACACTTCCAGTCGAAGACCAATGCACATGAAGAAGTCACCGATGCAGACTGGCGCATACACATCAGATATGTGTCTCCTCTCTCTCTCTCTCTCCTCTCATCACCTTCTTACCCACCATGTGTGCCTCCTACCCAAAGATCACCATCACCCACAGCGGCATCAGCGAGGCAAGCCGGCTATGGCTTCCTCGCTAGCTACCTTCCAGCAGCGCCACGACTTCCACCACTAGCGCACGCATGCGCCCTCTGGCCAGCGCCCCAGCAGCCTGCTCGCCCCAATCCAGCAGCGTGGCCGCCAGGTTGCTATCCTGAATGACTGGCTGGGTGCTGGGCACTTTCCTACATGGAAAGTGCTGCGCACTCCCAGCAGCCCTGACCTGGAGGCCGAGTACCCAGTAGCCTGGCGTTGGGCCAAAGTGTCGGCTCCCAGGTCCATTCAGATAGCGGCCTGGGACCAGAAAAGTTACGCCACACCCAACTGTGCGACGTGGCTCACGTCACTCGCTGCTCTCTGATTGGACAAAAGGCCTGGAGCCACATTGCTGCCTGGAAGACCCTGGAAGTCTTGTGAGTCCTTGGTCACACAGCATGCTGGGCCTCTCAACCAACTGCCACGTGGTAAATCTCTGGCGCGCCCAAGTTCTGACCTGGCCTGAAAAAGGCTGCACAGGAAAAATAAGGGTTTGCCTTCACTTAGGGAGAACATGATGCTTGCTAGGGGCCCAACTGGCGTCGGCTGCTGAGGCCTAATGGCCTTGTGAGGGGCTCAATCCTCGCACTCCATCCTCCTTAGCTTCGAAAGTCCGCTCAGATCGTTCTACGCAGGAGCTTTCCCCACAACCTGAGGTGCTGTCTTTGTCAGCTTCTCCTTCGTGAACCAACGACCTTCGTTTGGATCCGTATGATGCCTGAATCTGACCTGGTATTCCCTTGCAGGTTTCGGCGGTCTTGCTCTGCCAGTTGGTTTGGGAACAGGCAAGTCTCGATGATCCACTATGTCGTCGATGTCCACTTGGCCACCCATGGTCGGGGCCAGCATTGATGTCCTTGATGGGAACTGATCTGTCTCAGTGAAAGGTGCAAGCTTGGAAGCGTGGAAAACAAGGTAAGTGCGCAGGTGACCGGGGATTCTTATCACGTTGGAGGGACCATCTTGATCACTACCCACAATATCTAGGATTTCCCAAGAACCAAAGTACTGAGGCATTAGTTTTCTAGAGATGTTGAATTCCTGTCCTAGCTCACTAGACTTAACCCAGACTTGTTCCCCTACCTGAAATGAGGACTGTCGACGGTGTTTGTTCTCAAATGCTATCATAGCATCTTGAGCTTTCCTGATATGCTCAACAGCCTGCTGCAACATTTTCTCATGCGTTAATGGTTCCAAGTGACACGTCTGGTCGGTTTTCAGGGAGGAGAAAGTCTAACATTGATCTAGGCTTCCAACCCAAGTGCAGCGCATTTGGAGAGACACCAGTGGTGCTATGAACTGCGTTGTTTTATAGGCTGGCGATGAGAGGAAGCTTCTCATCCCAATCCTCTTGGCTCGGCCTAATATAGTGCTGCAGCAGGTGCTGTACCACACGGTTCATCTGCGCCGCTTGGCTATTGGCTTCATGATGATTCCCTGAAGTAATTTGGAGTAGGCTGCCCATCTGTTCAGCTGCTTTCTTCCACATTTCGCTGGTGAGACGGACATCTCTATCACTAACAATTGACTTGGGCAGTCTGAAGTCACGTCACCAGTTGTCCATAAACGACTTGATGACCTGCTCAGTCTTTGCAGTCTCGAGCATGGCGACTAACCTAGTGTACTTTATAAACTGATCTACTATGACAAAGATATGTCTCTTGCCACTCTTACTAGTCACGAGGTTATCCATGAAGTCCATGGACACACTTTGTCTGGGACCAGCGGGAATACGCAAGGGCTTGACCAACCCAAGTGGTGCTTGAGTTCTCGGCTTATCCCATTGACAGACTTGACAAGTCTGTGCGTAACGTTTCGCATCATAAAGATAGAGGGCCAACAAAAATGCTGCACTAGATTAGTGCTCGTCTTCTCGTAACCGAAGCGTGCGGTCTCATCATGACACTCACCCAAGAATAAATACGCAAAGACTCTAGATGGCAAACACAACATTCTATTCCCATCCTTCTCAAGAAAGAGTAACCGTCCACCACCACAAACTCGTTAGAGGTAGCTTTGTCCTTAACCTCAAGCTTGCGGATGATGTCTATCATCAAGGGGTCTTCCTTGCAGGCATCTTCCATGGATCTCGTTAGTTCATCAGATAGGCCAAATTCTTTGATCAACGCATCCAAAAAGTCTGCCTTACGCATATGCCATACTGGCTTACGTCAGATGTCACTCTCACGGGGTGTCAAGGCGTGTTAGGTCTGTCAAGGGGGCAGCAACAGTGTTGTAATTCTTCACGAAATTACGGTAATGGCATGTCATCCCCAAGAAGGACCTAACGTTCGTCACAGACTGAGGTCGTGGCCAGTCTCTAATGCTGGCCACTTTCGCATTTTTCGGGCTTAACCCGTCCGCAGATATCTCATGACCGAAGTATAAAATCTTGGTGCGACCAAACTTTCATTCTCCAAGTCAATCTTATACTTGTCGAAGGAGACCAAGCATAGGGTCAGCGTGCTGCACGTGCTCCTCAATAGTCTTACTAAAGCTAAGGATGTCATCGAGGTACATGACGATAGACTTATCTAGACAGTCATGGAATACCCTGTTCATGGCGTGCTAGAATGTACCCGGCGCGTTGCACAAGCCAACAAGCATCACCACAAATTCATACAGATCGTACCTAGTTTGGAAAGCGGTTTGTGTTGATCCTTCGATCTGATCACAATTTGATGGTAGTCGAACTTTAAGTCAATCTTAGTAAAGTACCTACATCCCTGCACGCTGTCCACAAGGTCGTCAATCTGGGGTAGAGGCTCAACATTGTTTACAGTGATGGCATTGAGGCATCTGTAGTCAATGCAAATGCTTAGTGATCCCCCTTTCTTCGGAATAAATAAGACTAGAGCACCGTAGGGAGGTGTACTATGGCGTATCCAACCACACCTTCTCTGTGAGCTCTTTTAGTTGCCACCGGAGCTCATCCAACTCGGTCGGAGCCATCCTATAGATTATTCCCTTTGGCGTTGTACTGCATAGAATGATCTCTATGGCATGGACAACCTCCCTCTATACGACTCCTACAGGCTCCTCAAACAAAGTAGTGTAATTGGTGACAATGACTTCTATATCTGGGGTGATTTAACGGCCTCCCCTTTCTAAGAGACAAAGACCAGATATATACCCTCCTCTTGGTTTTGTTTATAGTAATTATAAAACACATACGCACACATGCAACCATACGAATCCACTAACTTGCTAGCCCCGTATTTTGCTAGTCTAATGGTCCTTCCATCTGGCAACACATGCTTAAGCATCTTTCGGTCTCAAACTGGGGCTTTGCAACCTCAAGGTAGTACATACCCAACAACATCTCAAATTGTAAGTCATCGCTCACCAGGAACGAAATCTTGTGATTAAATTCCTCTCCTCCATAGGAGAAGGTGCAAGCGAGGTTCTTGACGTAATCTTGTAGTACCGTGCGCTCCTTGTTGGATGAGGTAGAAGCTACAACTCTACTCAGCCGTTGCACCCGGGCCCCAAGCCACAACCTCTCAACACCGTCGCAACTAATGAAGTTTCCCGTGTAGTCGATGTCTGCGAAGGCACCACACTTTCGGCCACCTACGTTGACTTCCACTACGCTCCCCTCTAGGACCTTCAGCTAACGCCACCCAAGACTCGCGAGGTCTTTCTCTGACCACTCCTTTTCCAAGTGCTCTAAGGCTTCAGACACATCTAACAAATAGAGCATTGTTTGGTCTAGACTTGTCTGCGGGGTGACTAAGGAGTCAATAGCTTGCGCCATCTCCTGAAGTGGTGAGGGAACATCCTCCACTTCAGCACGAGTAGAAGAAGCTATAACTTGTACTGGACTGGCATGTTTCCCTAGGATGTGCTCGCAGAAGCACCTCCCTAGGCTAAAGATCCACCAACACCCATCGTGTGTGGAATCTTCTGAGATACCTTACTATTCTTGCACTTGTACTGCGTGTGCCCGTATTGGCCGCAATTTATACAAGCGCCTTGAGTGTACCGGTCCCTCCACACGCCCTGTTCAAGTTCAACTTTCACCCATGTTGGCACATTGGGAGAAACCTGGTCCTTGCCCTGACTCTTTTGCTGGCCGCCCTTATGCTTGTCAACTGCCTTACCCTTTGCTATTGCTCTGGCGAGAGTTCCTCCCTCTACAATCTCCTCGCCGCCTATGTTTGTGTCTCCAACAAGTGCGGAAATGTCGTCAATCTCGTCCAGATTCGCCTCTGAATCTATCATCATGAGACGACTACCCTTCTTCTTCCAATCTTGTGGGAATGTCTTCTTTCTCCCATCCATAGGCACTTGCTGCGCACTCCCTAGCTTTGCCTCTAAGTCTAAGGCTTTCTTGCTAAAGGAAGATAAGTTGTGCACGTCGATGCTTGCCTCGCTAACCAGCATATCCTTGATGTCTGTAGGAAGACATCTTAAATACATGGGCAGGAGGATCTCGAGGTCATAGCGCACCCCTGGGAAAACGACGATTTTCTCTACGGCGTTGGTAAGTTCGAGGGCAGTCTTGTACTTCTTTGAGTCCAATCTGGCCAACGCGTCAGTGGCTTGCTGAGCGTGCTGAGGGTTGTGCCACCGCTGTTCTACCAACTCCAGAAACGAGTCTAATGTATGGGTTTGAGCCCAGTCATCAAACTTCCTACCAAAGTCGTTGTGTGCAACTGAACCATCTAGCCATCTTGCTGCAGAACCCTTAAGGTATGAGGCAGCCACAATCACTTCCTGCTCGAGCTGCGTCTGCTTAGCCCTTACCCACATTGGAACAGTCCTCAACCAAGTGTTGAGGTCCTCCTCCTTCTTGCCCCCTGTGAAGCGCTCAGGAGGTGACAACGCGGTCTTTGGGACCCACTGTTGCTGCGGTCCAGCTGGTACCTGTTGCTGGACAAGCGGCTGGACCGACTGCTGCCCTGCAGCTGCAGCAGCTGGATGAGAAGATGAAGAAGCGGGAGCCTGTGTACCCACTGCTGACTGACCACCTGGTATGATACCAAACTGTGGGACACAGGTGCCTGACATCGCCGACAATGTTGGCTGCGCCCTGACACTAGGCCCGCCTATTGTGGATGGGACTGGCCTTCCCAGTCACGATGGCTCTAAATATCTGGTCTAGGGTAGACTGGATGTCATCCAATTTGCTGTCCATGTACTTGCTCAGCTTTCGTGCCTTGAGCGCTTTAGTAGAGTCATCTAGGACAGACTCATCGGACCCCTCTATTCCAGCCTTATCCTGCTCCCTGGTCTCCAGTCTAGTCTGTCTAATTCTAGCTCTATTTGGCCTTTCAGTTACATTGCTGAGTTCGTTCTCTAGCTGAAAGTGAACGTTCTCTGCTTCCTGGGCCTCTAAGGCCTCCCTAGTGAGTTGAGTAGGTTGGCTGTACTGCGAGCCAACCATCTGACTTGAGGAACTACCTGTACTCATCCCACTGCTGGAAGAGACTTGCGAGACAGCAAGTGTGCGGTTGCTGCTGCTGTAGCCATTGCGGCTGCTATGGCCTGCCCTACTGCTGCTACCTCCTCCCTACACCACTGCTTGCAATGTGCAGCACTTTCTGCTCGCAAAGCTCTCTCTCCTCTGGGCGGTAAGGCCTGGTGCACAATGGGTATCCTATGTGCCCTCTGTCGTGTCACTCTCCCTTCGCCAGCTCTCTCCTCCTCACTGCTGTGTCCACTCATCAGCTAAAGCAGATCATGGTCTGCACTACCGTCTTCACCCGAATAGAACGCCCGGTCATTATCACTGCATCTGGGCTGAAAGTTGAGCGAAATACCGCTATAATGACTGGGCATTCTATTCGGGTTTTCCTAGCAGGGACCTACCACAGCATTGTGTCTGACCGAGATGCAGAATAAATAAATAAATAAATAAATAAATATTCGGTACGGTACTCAGATGCTCGATCAGGTGGTGTGAACAGAATGTACACAACCGCAGCAAGAGATCCTACTTCTACTTCGACTAGTTCTCAAACAGCAGCAAAAGATAGAACTGGAAATGGTAGACTGCTGCAGTACTATCCTATTGCTGGCTCCCAGGTGTCAGCAGTCCGTAAACACCTCAACTAATCAAAATAAAAATAAAATCAATTGCACAGATGCATGTGAAATAGAAATAAACTTAATAATAATACCAATTGGAACCTTCCTTTCCCCTGTATCTGACGTCCTGGCTGCATCACAAAGCATCAGTGTCTAAGGTGTGCACAACAGCCCACCCCTGTGCCCAGGTGATTGCAAAAGCCGGCCAGCCCAGACTGTACTATTTTTATCCTCACGTACGGTGCGAGTCGGTTTCCCCGCCGGAATGTCTTTAACGATTCCGGAATGTCTTCTGCAATTCCGGTGTTGGTGGGGAGCTGCACCTGCTGGAAATCCACAAAGACAAAACTTGATATGCTCTCACAGAACAGCGATTTTGTTAACACGGACATTTTATATTTTTTGAACGAAATTGAAACCCAATTATTTGGCCCTGGATATGTCACCGTTTTAGCTCCTTAGGGTCCCCCTTGGATGTACCTAAACATCAGTTAAGTCCAAATGGACCCTCAGGAGACAAACGGTGATATTTTTTGGGCTGTTACGATCCTGGCCAATTTCGAAGTATACATTCATCAGAAAGTACAATGCCGTCCAATTGCAAAAAGAAATGAATGACCTTGAGAGGAGAGAGAGGGAAAGAATGAGAAGAAGATCTAAGAAAGAAGAAGAAGATGATGTACTCCAGCATAGACCAAAGATAATGTTCGTCTTCTTCGCCAACCAATCTCCTCCTCCTTATCTCCTCCTCCCTTATTCAAACAGGAAATAACAATAATAATGTTGAATGGCTGAACCAAAATCAATGTCCGAATCCCACTTCTACTGCAGGCACAACATGAGGTCCACCATAGCCATGGCCATCCTTCTCCTTCCTCTCACATGTAGGCCGAGGCTATGGCGAACTACTGAGGGCTAACCCTTTGTAGACCGAGGCTATGGCGAACTACTGAGGGCTAACCCTTTGTAGGCCGAGGCTATGGCGAACTACTGAGGGCTAACCCTCCTGTCCAAAGGACAACCCAAAGCAGCTATGTCGCTGCCTTCCTGTGCAAAGGACAACGCAAAGCAGCTATGCCGCTGCTCACTAGGTCACCATGCCTGTCTCGCCCCGAGCTTCCTTGGTGCGGCACTACCCCAACGGGGGCCTTCCAGATGCAGCGCCTAACAAGGTGATGAAGATGGTGTCCACCATAGCCAGGTAGATACCTCGCCACTCTCCTCCTTGGTCCCCTTCTCCCTCCTCCTACCGGTAGAGCTCCACCATAGCCAAGGTGGAAGCTCCCGACTTCTTCCTCCCAACAGCAGCGCTCCAACAGCGTGTCGCCAAACTTGCACACTGAAGAATGAGGTCGGTCTCTTCCCTCGGCCTCTTGATATAGCGGCTTACTTGCCTCCTGGGCGGTGACTTCCAGGCCGCTCCGCCTGAATGCGGGAATCTCGGCAAAGCATCCATTCCATCGGCAGAACTTCAGAAATCAGCAGTGTTCTCAGTCTGTGTTAAGGCGGGTCATTACACTATCCCCCCCTCAAGAGCGAGGTCCCTTCGAGCGAGTAACTCAAGCTGCATAATGCATCATAAGCGTAAATGGCAAAGAGAGATCGGGTATGTTCTGTAGGAGTGAGGATAGCAGTAAATTTAGGTTGCTGTTCGAAGCTAATCAGTCGTTCATATGCGTTGACAACTCGCGGGTCACTCTGCAGCAAGTCTTTCTTAGCAATCCGGTAAAAGTCATGCAATGGATGATATAGAAAATGGACTTTGTATTGTCTGTTTCTCCCCTTCCACTGTGCTCGACAATTCTATTAATCTCGTGACCGCCATTGATTGCGCGGGGAATCATCGATTCTCGATATCGGAAAGTTTCGGGTGGTTCATACGGAAACAATTTCGACGCGTGAAAGACTGGATACGTGCGCAAATGAGGAGGCACGTCGATTGTGTAAGAAGGACCAGATGAATCATCTCCTACTTGGTTCAGCACCTTCCACGGACCGTAATACCGAGGAAGAAGCTTTCGCGATACACCTTCTTCAGAAAACTCTTACATTTTGACCCACATATAACTTCCTATTATGAAAGGTTCAGGCTGGCGCTTTTTGTTAGCATGTTTAATCATGGCACTGTGTCGCCTTTCCATAGTTGTTGACAACAACTTTGAGCAAGCGATCAAACTTAGCACTGTAGCCTGGCTGGCCAGGCGTTAGGCCAGGTAGTTGGTCAGGAAACAAGTAGGATAGGGGATTGGGAATTTGCCACCTGAGGTGCAGCCGATTAGGTGTGATCCTGGTGGAGGAGTGTATGAAGTTGTTGTACAATCCTTGCACAATTGGCAATTCCTTATCCCAAAACTTCTGATCAGGCACAATTAGAGCTCGGAGAAGTTGGATCACAATCTGGTTGATCTCCTCGGCCAATCCATTGGCTTCAAGATGTCGGTCAGACGTCATCTTGGGTTTGATGTCATAGATCTGGGAGGTGAAGTCCTTCCAATCTGCACATATGAACCTAGTGTCCCGGTCACTCACAAGAGTTTTCGGAGGCCCACACTGCAGAATGTACCTTTTGTGAAACTCCTTGATCACCAGGTCAATTGGGGCGTGAGGTGGTAATGGTATCAAATTCAGAAACTTTGAAAAGTGGTCAACGATCACCATTACTTGAATATTTGTTCCTGCTTTTCTTTCCCATGTCCGTGAAGTCGATAGAAAGAGACTCACTCGGGCCATCAGGAATAGGAAGAGGATGCAACAACCCATAGGGCTTTTGCCGAAACGGTTTGATGCGTTGACAAACTTCACACTCAGCCACAAACTTTCGTGTCATTTCTTTTATCCCAGGCCATACAAAATTTTGCAATCGACTTCCGTTTGTCTTTTTAAAACCGAAGTGTCCACTCCGCCTATGAGCCAAGTCCAAGAAGTGAGTACGGATAGGCTCATGGTTGGGTACACACAATCGGTCGTACTTCTCGTAACGTTGGAAAAGTAAACCTTTACATTCATGGAAATCAGGCTGGCTGCTAGGGTCAGCCTGGATCTGTTCAAGGATAGGACTGAGTTATGGGTCCTTGGCAGTATGCTCGACGAGTTCCTCTTTCAAATTTTTACGAAGATCGTAGGAACCCACAAGGCAAGTCATGTACTCAGGATGGCGAGACAAAGCATCCGCAACGCGATTGTAACAACCTTTCTTGTGCTCAAGTTCAAAATCATACACAGTAATCTCATGCAGCCAGCGGGTCAATGTATTTGATGGATTATTCTGTTTCTGGATCCATTTCAAAGTCTCATGGTCTGAGAACACTTTGAAATGGCGACCCAAGAGGTAGTGTTTCCAATGATCTAGTGCCTCTCTCAAGGCATAAAGTTCTCGCATGTAAGTGGAGGCAGCTACCTTGTAACTGGACATGCGTTTGTTGTAATACTCAAGCGGACGTAAGCTGTCAACATCATCTTGTTGCAGCACTGCACCAATCCCATACAAGCTTGCATCCGTGGTTACTACGAATGTAAGTTTGGGATCTGCAATGCGAAGCACTGGATGACTCACCAAAGCCTCCTTCAATGCTTGGAAGGTTGTTGTGCATTCCCCATCCCATGTGTAGGACACGTTCTTGCTTGTCCATTTGGACAGCGGACGGGCGATGATAGAGAATTTGGGCACAAACTTACGGTAGTACGACGCAAGACCAAGAAAAGATCACAATTCTCAGACATTTGCCGCTTGCGGCCATTTGCGGATGACCTCCACTTTGGTTGCCTCAAGCTCTAGGCCTACAACGGACAATCAGTGTCCAAGGTAGATGATGTTGTCCCTCCCAAACTCAGATTTCTCTAAGTTGAGATGAACTTGCGCATCCTTGAGGATCTGCAACACTTCCCCAAGGTGTCTCATGTGCTCCTTCATCGACTTGCTGAAGATTAGGATGTCGTTCAAATAAACAACAACAAATCGTTTGATCTGATTGCAGAACACCTTGTCCATAAGACTTTGGAAGATGGCCGGTGCATTTGTGAGGCCGAAAGGCATAACGGTAAACTCATACAGCCCAGGTGCATTTGTGAGGCTGAAAGGCATAACGGTAAACTCATACAGCCCATCGCGAGTTTTGAATGCAGTTTTATGTTAGTTTGCAGGGTCGACTTCAATCTGGTGGTAACCTGACTTGAAATCAATATTGTTGAAGACCTTGCATCCACCCGCAGTATCAAGCAGGTTGTCAATGCGTGGCAAAGGGTATGCATTCTTTCTGGTTATTTTGTTCAGTTCGCGGTAATCAATACACATCCGTAGTTTGCCTCCCTTCTGAGGAACAAACAAAACTGGCGCATCGAATTCGGATTCGCTTGGCTTGATTCATCCTTTTTCAAGCATGTCATCGATCTGCCTACGCAACTCCTCCAATTCGCTTGAGCCCATTCGATAGACACAACCGTTTGGAGGAGTGTTGCCCTCTATCAACTTGATTTTGTGTCGGATCGGACGCACGGGGACTTCATGCCGTTCGGCCAAAACTTCAGGAAATCGGTCGAGAAGGCTGCAGATCTCCGAAGGAATTTCCGGAGGTGGATCATCACATTCTGGTGCAAGCATACCGGATTGCATAAGTGTAGCCAAAACAACAGGATTTGAAGCAGAGTCGTTTGGACTAGAAGTAGGCTTAGTATAGGTAGAAGTAGTTGCATCAAAAGTAGAAACGGCATGCAAAGTAGAATCATTATGTACAACAAAAATAGAAGGCACATGAGCAGGTCTATCAAAGGCTATATACATTTGCTCATCAACTTTGCACCTGCACCACTTTGTGTAGAATTTCATTGCATTGAGAAAAGTCACTGGGGATTCGTGCGGCTCATCCAAAAGGACTGGACGCTCGATTCCCATAGCATCTTTGACCATGAATTGTGAGTCCTTCCACGTGGTTCTTTCACATTGGGCCTGCAACCAGCCCAAGCCAATAACCGCGTCGAAGGGGCACTTATCAAGGACATAGAAGTTCAACTCATGCGTGATTGTGCGGTCTGCGTCAAAGGTAGTGCGCACACCTTTGATTCCATGGGTAGATATGACAACCTCTTGGTTGCCCACATGGGTCTGACAAGGATTCTGCAAAGTCACTGGCTTCATTCCCAAGTGTGCCTTACGAATGCCGTGCAGTGAGAAGTAGTTGGCGGTTGCACCACAATTAGCCAACGCACGGATGTAACGGTCGTTAATGCAGAGTTTGAAGAAGATCAACTTCGTTTTCCCTTGCGTGCGTTCTTGCTTCATGTGAGCCTAGCGCGACAAGAGAGCATGAAAGTCAATTTCTTCCAACTCCACCCAAGGCTCTTTGTAGAGGATGTGCAGTTTCTCAGCCTTGGAATCAGCATCAGATGAGGTCTCAAGAGAGGTTTGTTGAGTAGGATCATAATCCGACGAAGGATCTGCACTTACGTGTTCAGCCTCTCCGTCTGTAGAGTGTGTTGATGATGTCTTGACCCCCTTTGTTGGTTTCCCTGCTGCAATCTGAAGCAATGTTGGATTGAGTGTCCCGGTTTGGTGCAGTGCAGGCAAACCCCCTTCTTCACACTGTGTTTCCACTACCTATGGTTTTGTGGCAGGATCTTCCGGTTTGGGTGAAATCTTCGCTCCTTTGGGAAGGAGAATGGTGTTAGTATTGTTCTTCATTGTGTTCCTCGGTCCCTTACTTTTGAAGGCAGTCTTCTTGAAGGCATTCATTGATTCATCATCATCCACATAATCAGACTCATGGGCCGACGAAGAGCAAGATGCCTCGCAGTCTTGCTCTTGATCGTCACCAAGAGAAGGGTCCTCTGTGAAGGTCTCCTCGTCAACCTCAAGTAGATCGTACGATGCAAAACGGTTGCTGCCTGGAAACCATTTGCGGCTGGTGGTCTTTTTGCCACCCGATCCACCCGGGAGGTCTTTTGCCTCCAACTTGACCAAATCCCGCATGAGGGAAAGCCAATCTGTATACTTTATGAGTCCGCGCCCCAGGCGATGTGTTACAGTAGAGGGAACCGCGCCTTTAATCATATCCAAGTAGGACTGCGCAGTCATCTCCAAATCAGGAGTGGCAGAGAATTTACTAACGTAACGCTGCAGACTATGCATGGAGCCGGTCCACTTGCTTGGCTTGAACTTGTCGAGCTTGAGTCTAGCTTTGGCTGCAACATGCGGATCAACATATTGCTTGATCAAGAGCACTTCGGGTGTGGCTACAGGCGTAGTCTTCAACCATTTGTTGAGGTCTATTCTTTTATAGTCTGACTGTATAGCTTGGACTTCTAAGAAGCCTCTTACGGCGGGTTCCACATTAGTCCCTAGGACCAATGACTGAGTAACCGGGAGGGTTCCCAGCACATCAAAGTAGGATCGCATAAAGTTGATCCATGATTCAATATCGTCTTTTCCGTCGTATTTAGATGGAATATGTGTCGCCTTTCTATCCATGTAAGGAAAGCTGCAGTTAGGACCAGCGGTTGTTGGATCCGAATTCGGGGCTGCAACAGTTCCAAAATGCCCTGCACTTGCCCTGCACTGCCACTTGCCACTGCAGCAGCAGCAACAACGGGGTGGAACCTGCTGCAGATCCGGATAGGTTGTTGACCACACTCAAAGAAGAAGAAGAAGAAGTAGAAGATACAGTTAGAGAGGCAAGAACGGACTGACACGCAACACTAGAAGCAGGGTAAACAGGCAGAAGGACACCTTGGGCTGACTGAATATTAGCAAAATATTGCAGCTGGTCACGGTGTTGCTGCGCCATTAGGGCCATATCCTCGCGCAACTTCTTGAGTTCATCAAACACTTTGGCGAGTTGGCCTGTATGGTCTTCAACAACCCGGACCTCTACTAAAGCCCTGAGGAGTGGGACAGTCTTCTCTTCCACCTCCACATCAGTATTGGGCGGGCACGATACTGAAAACGGCTTCATGAGCCTTTATTTTGTCTCCCCTCTCTTTCTCCTTCTCTTCTTCTTCTCTCTTCAATTGCTTTTTCATAGAAGAACTTGTACTGCGCTTTTTCTGCCTCAGGGGCAGCGTCCATTTGCAGCTTCCATTCTGCTACAGATGCCATGATGGAGGACGAGGGTGTCAATAAGTCTCTGAAGAGAGGTCTGTACTTCCCTCCTCTTCCCTCTCCTCACCCCCTCAAGAGCAACACTCAAAAACTTCTCTCTTCTCTCTTTCTCTCTCGTTTGTGATCATGTAGACGCAAGAGCATTTAACGAACCCAATGAAAGAAACAGCTTGAAAGCAATCAGAAGAGAAGGTAGAACTCCTAGCCGGAGTGGCAACTCATTTGGACTGGGGAGTCGTCAAAACAAAAAATAAAGATGAGAAAGATTTGGTTCCGCCACACAGTCTGGTTTGACTACATATGAGGTCCTCTCAAGCCTAGCGGGACTCAGCTCCGTGAAGACACAACAAATCAAATTCAAAGTGTACTGATCGTGCAGTGAAGTCCGTTAAAACGTCTCAGTTGAGATTCCCTCAGCAGCGAGTGTCCAGGTCCGAAAGCATGAACTCTGAGTCCCAATTAGATAGAGCAAAGTAACTGACGTCAACAAATTTGGGTCTGAGGGCCCCTTTATGTTTGGACCCAGTCCCACTGAGTCCCAAATTGTCCCAGTGGAGTCAGACCCGGGTCCCAACCAACAAGAGTTCCACAAAGACCTACTCTTTGCCCCTACTGAATTGAAAAACGAAATTCAGCCCCAGAAAGAATCTATAGACTACAACCATTCATAATGAAATAAACAAAACATTGTAGAAAGATATAGCGTGACACACAAGATACTCCATTCATTCCCTCGTCCGGTGAGTAGTTAGTTCACACACCTCACACAAGATAAAGACTATGGAGGATGGAAGAAGAACCCATAATACCCCAACAGGCAGTCAATTTCATGCACACACACATGGGCGCCCTGGTGGCACAACACTTACCTGAGTGGCCGGGCTCTTAAGATTGAAAGAAACTCACCCCCTTCTCACATTGGCGAAGAAGAAGAGCATTATCTTTGGTCTATGCTGGAGTACATCATCTTCTTCTTCTTTCTTACTTCTTCGTCTTCTTCTTTCCCTCTCTCTCCTCTCAAGTTCATTCATTTCTTTTTGCAATTGGACGACACTGTACTTTCTAATGAATGTATACTTCGAAATTGGCCAGGATCGTAACATTGGTATCAGAGCGGATTCTACTTGCTGGCGAGAGTTGACTTTGCCGCCATAACCCTAACCTAAGTGGTAAGGACTAACCACTTAGGGTTAGGGTTGGAAGTTAGGGTTAAGTGGGGCAGCGTGGTGAAGGTAAACTGCTCCCACCTGGCAGGGCCGTGTAGGCACTGTAGGGTCGACATTAGACCCAGCCAGGTAGCTTGAGTGCATGTTTGTGGTGGCGAGACACAAGGTGGGACTTCGTGATGCAATTGGAGAGAGGCGACAGTGAGGGGCACCTACAACTTTAATCTGGACTTCAAGGAAGACAAGGAGTGACTTTAGGGCTCCCCTCAAGTTAGGCGAGCTTGAGGGTGGCAGCCATATCTGCACCTACACACTGCAAGTTGCTACTTTGATCTTCAACGATGGGGGATCACTGCAGGCACAACATGAGGTCCACCATAGCCATGGCCATCCTTCTCCTTCCTCTCACATGTAGGTCGAGGCTATGGGGAACTACCGAGGGCTAACCCTCCTGTCCAAAGGACAACTCAAAGCAACTACGTCGCTGCCTTCCTGTGCAAAGGACAACGCAAAGCAGCTATGCCGCTGCTCACTAGGCCGCCATGCCTCTCTGCCCCGAGCTTCCTTGGTGCGGCACTACCCCAACCGGGGCCTTCCAGATGCAGCGCCTAACAAGGTGATGAAGATGGTGTCCCCCATAGCCAGGTAGGTACCTCGCCACTCTCCTCCTTGGTCCCCTTCTCCCTCCTCCTCCTACCGGTAGAGCTCCACCATAGCCAAGGTGGAAGCTCCCGGCTTCTTCCTCCCAGCAGCGCTGTAGTAGCCAGCGCTCCTCCAGCCAGCGCACCAACAGTGTGTCGCCAAATTGCACACTGAAGAATGAGGCCGGGCTCTTCCCTCGGCCTTTTGATATAGCGGCCTACTTGCCTCCTGGGCGGTGACTTCCAGGCCGCTCGGCCTCCCAAGCAACCGGTACCGCCTCCCTTTCGGAGGGAAACATCATTGGAGACTCTGATATTGCCCATACAGGCTCTAGACTCAGACTGGATGGACTGGTACCGGCCTAGACCTAGCCTACCGCTACTGGGCCTCTAAAAATGCCAACTTTGTCTTCTTCTGCTGAGCCTCGAGTACCTGACACATCTCCTGCTACTGGGTGCGGTACCGGCCTACCTGCTACTTGAGTGTTTTTCCGCTGCTCTAAGTGCCGCGGACCTCTGGCTCCGCCACTTGGGTGTTTTCCCCTGCTGCAACCCTCAATGCCACGGCCACAGGTAAGTACCGGCCCTACGGGCCTGCCAAACAAGCAAGTACCCTTGCGGGTCACACGCACACTCATGCCGACAAGCACTCAGACAGGCACGCAGGTCAACAAGCACGCAAACATACAGACTTAGAAAACTCAGCAGAATGCGGGAATCTCAGCAAGGCATCCATTCCATCGGCAGAACTTCAGAAATCAGCAGTGTTCTCACAACTTCTCAGTCTGTGTTAAGGCGGGCTATTACAGTGCCAAATAAGTAGGTTTCAATTTCGCTCAAAGAATATAAAATGCCCGTTTTGACGAAATCGTTTGTTACAGGAAAAAGGTATGCAACAAAGAGTAAACATCTTCAACAAAGACTGGCTGGGTGGGGAAAACAGGGGATGGATAGCATCTGTTGTATGGCAAGGGGGAAGGGAGGAGGATTTGTCCCCCATCCAGAATGACTACAAGCTAGTGTTTCGCGAATGGATGCAGATTGAGACTGACCTGACACTGCCAATGGAAGGCATGAAGAGGACATATAGGATGATATAGCCTACAAATCAATCTCGAGGTATCAAGGGGGATACGGCTTTGTTAGTTTTAGCTGTTCCACATCAGGCGGCCTGGGCGCAGGCTGAAGATGCAACATCTGCCACTCTGCAGCGGTCCTCTATTTACCCCGGCCCATAGCCGCAGCTATTTGGCTTTTCTATTGGTTCAGCGTATGGGACCTGGCTGTCGGCCTGATCTCACAGGCCGCCCGCAGGTCGTTTAGTCATTTCGTACGTTACTGCCGTCTGTACCGTGTCAGTCCATCCCAGTCAGTCTGCTGGGGAGGAGGATACCCCAACTGCAGTCTGTATGGATAATTCTTCTTCATTGGTCGAGTCTTGGAGTACATCATGTGCAATGTTTTTTTTTTTTTTTTTTTTTTTTTTGCAATGTTAGAGTGAGGTGTGTGCATGTGCTGTCATCAGTGAATCACCCCCGGCCATGACCGGGGGCATGTTTGGGGCCGATGGTCGGGAACCCAACCGCTGCCTCGGCCAGAGGCGGTGGGCTTCCGTCCGTGGACTTTCGGGATTTTTTCCCGAAAATATAAATTAGTAAAAAATGAAAAACGAAAAAAAAATCACATTTAATGATTTAAATGAAAAACGACAGGCAACATTTTTCAATTTAAATCATACTTGCAACTGCACCATGCACCATACCGTGCGGCGCAGCACCTGCTCGTGCGCTGTACCAGTGGCAGTTTCCCTTCTTTTCTTTTTCCGCTGTTTTTGTAGATATAGAAGAGCGCAACATGTAAGGAACTGATCTTTTTGAAGTACAGTCATACAGATTTTTCTTTCTGTCCAATTGGGCATGAGAAATAGCCTAAAATAGGTGTCTGGGACATCAGTGCTGACCTTTCGGTAGCGGCATTACCCTCCCACTAGGTTTTCTTTTTTTTTTCCCCCATCCCACAACAAATCTTCGAAGGGGACGCAGGTGACCATTGACCCAGCCATGCGACCCCTTTTTTTCTGAGTGAATATTTCCCCCGTGCGCCACACCGTGCGGGTCTGCTCGTGCGCCAGACGTTCCGCACGGCGTGCGCTTGCATGTATGATTTAAATGAAAACAAATCACATTTAAATGAAAAACGACAGGCAACATTTGAATGAAAAATGACAGGCACATTTAAATGAAAAAGCAAAAAAAAATCGCATTTTGGAATCAGAGTCATCAGACTTCATTTTCGATTTTTAAAAATTGAAAAACGAAAAAAAAAAACATTTAAAATTTTACCCCCCCCCCCCAAAAAAAAGAACAAAAACTTTATTAAAAAGTTTTTTTTTAATGTTTTTTAAACTTTTTTTTTGTTATTGATTGATTGGTTGGTTGGTTGCAGGGGGGTCGC